GCCCGGGGTAGTGGAGGAGGAACAGATTGAGCACTAGATTCGTCACTCTTGGATTTTCCCTTACTTTTACCAAATTTTTTTTTAAGGAAGCCATCTTAATTAATAAAGTAATAGAAAATAAATAAAATAAACAAAATTNTATGTTTCAATTGGGAGGCATTTATTTGCCAATCAACAATGCTGGATATATCATAATTATATACAAAAATTCTATTTTGAATATCAAAAGCATTAAGCGATAATCTCATTATAATTACTGTCAATCTACTTTTATTCTATATTCTTTGATTTTTTATTTGGTTCCTATTGGCAATATTTAGTTAGTTGGAACCTGTATGATCATTATTATAGGTATTTTTTATTTTTGATTTTGAATGATTTTCTTGAGCTTTTAATGATAGTCGTAATGTATAAAATGAAGAGTATTATTTGCAGTCATCAATCTGGTGGCAAATAGTTGTGAATCGCCAGAAATTTACATGTAGAGCTTTGAGTATTTTTCTTTTGGGGTTTTTTCATGCGGCATATTTAGGGATTGAAGTATTTCTGAATGAGAATTTCAGCCTATTGATTTGTAGTGATTCTAAATGAGAATTTTAGTTTATTGATTTGTAGTGAGTATATGTTAAACTCGATTAAAATATTCCATGTTTGTAGGATTATCATCTGGTGGCTAATAGTTTGAATGGCTAAAAATTTACAGGTAGAGAATTCATATATTTTTCTTTTGAGTTCTTTTTGTTTTTACATGTGATGTATTTAGGGGTAATACTTAGAAACAAGTACATATAGATTCTGTGCCTATTCTAAAATCGCAAGCTCTCTAATTTGATCGAGGGAGATATATGGGTTTTGTTCTTGTGCATTTGAAGTATGATTTCTAAGCTTTCAAGTTTTTATTTTTAAGACTTTGTGTATTCCTTTTCTAGCTATCTATTTGATAAAAAAGACTCAAAAGACTGTTCTTCCCTTTATTTTAGTGCTGGTGTTTTTGATTTATTTGAAGAAACTTCTTTTAAGAACAATTGAAAAAACAAATTATTTTGTTGTGATGTACTATAACTTAAGAAGTTTTTTCAGTTGAGTGTTATTATTTTATGGTACTTATAAATTTTATTATAAAGGTGATTTTGTTGCTTTCGCGTCATACATTGAAACTTGTATTTGTTTATCATGCCTGGAATTATTATGTTCACTGTCTTTTAAACTTTACTTTAAAGGCATTTCTCTTGCTTCCATATTAGACACAGAAACTTGTACTCCTATTGCTCATCATTGGAATTATTCTTCCCATAATCAACAATGAAGAATGTTATGCTTGGGATATTGAGTGTATTTATTTTTTGTGCGAGCTTTTCTAGCCTTTTTTTTGGTGAGCTTTTAAAAGCATATTGTTTCTGAAGATCAAAATCATGAGAAATCTTTAAAGTGATGGCCTATGTATAATTACCGGGTACTTATTTTGGAATTCTTTGCAAAACCTCATAATCACTATAATCCTATGTAATTTGTATAATTTCTTATGCATTTGGTGATTTGTTTTATCCTATGATTGTTGTTGTGATACTAATATTGTTTCATTTTTGTCATTTTGTCATTTTTTTTTTTTTTTTTTA